GTATATGTACAACTGGGTATGTGATGAATAAACCTTTAATCTTGAATCCTCTAGCCCTTAAATTCTAACATTCTACACTTTCCTAACCTCACTCTAATTATTTCCATCTGCTAATAGACATGATGTCTCACAAGAGAAAAAAATATCCATCCATCCATCCATTTACTGGCCAGGGTTGCAGAGGGATAGCATAGGGTACAAAGCTGGGGTAAACCCTGAATGTGATGCCAATATAGATTATATGTGCTATTTAAATATTAAAAAGCATCAAAATCATATTTTCCTGGCCCCAGCATTGCATCCTCTAAGTCTGCATACAGTCACATCTCCACGTCCTTGAGATGTGTCATGTTTTTTGATTATAAACACAACTTAAAGACCCTAGCTATATAACGTATCGATTTTTGCAAACAATTGGATGGTGATGGTAACGATAATGGTGGCAATCATTATCACTGCCTATTGGAATCAGGCTAGTGATCGCACTTAATGATGTAATATCACCTGTCAAAGCAGGTTGTTGCTATACCGTCTGCCTCTTAATGGATAACAGACAGCTTAAGGGTAATGAATAAGGAGCCGAAATAGGAAACGCCTCGATCAAAAAATCTGGAGGTCAGTGACAGTGACAAGGTTGCTTTCTAAATTTAGAGTCGTCCGCCTAGAATCGTGTCGTAAGATCAGCTAAGCTGGTGGCTAAAAATGAGGCACATTTCTGGCAAAACCACCTGAGTCCCAGCAGGCTGATGCCCTTTTTGACTGAAGCAGTTGTAATTTTTTTTCTTTCCAACTTTCTCATTTTCCTGCATCAATAGAGTTCCCAAAAGTGTGTGCGTTTGGACCTCCATTAGATAAGCTCCAAGCAGAGGTCTCCAAAGTGGCGAATCAGCTGTAACCTACCCAGCTGTAGCTCTTCTGGTGAATCATACAAGATCTTTCGCTCCCCAGAGACGGCCTGACATTCAGGTACCTTGCCTCAGGATATAGGTATTTCACACAGGATACCAACAAGACGGAATGCAAGCAAAAATAAATATAATAAATGTGCTGGAATTATATTATTTTTCCAGGTTTGTTTATTTTTATTTATTTGTTTTTTGTGTTTACCTGAATTGATACTATGCTACAGTATGCACACAAAAATCTTTATGCGACCATTCTTGGTTGTAAATGCAGTAGTTCTCAAGTTCATCCATCAATTCCATCCATCTTCCATATCTATTAATCCAGTATAGGGTCACAGGGGCCTGGGGGCGAACCCAGGACCCAAGGCAGAGGAACACCCTGAAAGCGATGCTACTTCTCAATTATCTCTTATGAATAATTTTCCAATGAGCAATGAAGCATCCTACATCACGTGAGGAAAACAGTTGGTGTCGGTACACCTATATATTGGATGATTGGCTTTATCAATCCATTTCAAAGTTGTTTCCTTGACAACAGTCATCCCACAAATAGATACCATTTCTATAACTCATGGATGACTGATCTGTGGTCCCTAATGAGGCATAGACCAGGACAAAGATCTTTTTTTAAGGTTACACAGTACACTCGAAATCAGTATCTTTGTGGTTCCATGTTACTGAAATGCTATAAAGACAAGAATAGATCAGTTAACTGTAATATCTTTCTAACAATTGTCAGAGCCTGTACCACAATATATTTCTCAAATATATTCACTATATACTCAGCTGAACAGATCTCAGCTTTAACCTGCCTTTAACTAGCCAGATGCCCAGAATGTTCTTAAGGCTGCACACTGGGCCATGGAATAGTCACACTCATTTCTTGCTTTGCAGGGCTCTTGAGTCTCACACATTGACTGCCAGAAACACGCAGTTCAACCAGTTCACACGCCACACCTTGTGCTTCTCACTCTGAGAAGTAAGAGATGACGCCCCCCAAGGTGTCCCGTGATATTAATGGGCGAGGCGCAGGCATACGAGGTGGAGTTTTCTACTGAGCTCACAGCTGTCCGAGATATGCAGAGTTAATAGCCACATATCAACCAATCAGAAAAAAGCATTTGTTGTTTCTGGGTAAATTCCAAAATAAGTTACATGAGATCTCCCTGCAAGCACATTATTACTTGCATGCGCACACAGCGTGCAGACAAGGTGGACGTGGAAGAGCAAGATCTGATGGATGCAGTAGGCTGGGCTGTAAAGTGTCACGCATTGACTGTGAGACACACGCTGGGCCCCTAACAGATGTATTCTCACTCCAAACTGCTGCCCCAATACTTTTTACATTAGTAGCAGCCATTCGTTGGAAGCTCGGCCTAGTTATGCCTCAACACCATGCATAAGTCTAATGTACTATCTGCCTCACTTGTACGTTACTTTGGGTGAATGCGACCAATAGATATGTAAATGTGAAGGTAACTGATACCAAAAACCACCAATGGCAGGAAGTCTGCAGCTCCCCAAATCACGCACCAGCTAACAAATCGCTTTTTTTCACCGAGCACATCACGACGTGCCCAGCAAGTCAGAACATGCTCAACATGTCACAGCACACCCAAGGTGTTACAACCTACCGAACACATCACAACATGCTCATCACATGCCACACATACAATATACAGAAAACACATAAATAAATGCATGTGTACCTCTATGGACTACTGATCAGTTGAGAGGCTGTAGTAATCCCTTTCCATAAATGATAAATGAACTCTGCTACAACAAGGGACGGATTTAAAAGTCAGAAGCGGTTTGAGGATTTGCATTAACACTTTTCCAGATACAAGAGCATTTGAAAGTGTAACAAATGGTATTATAAGAACAAGAAGGTAGAGAATGATACAGAGTTATGGCTTTGTGATTGGAGGACAGGGGTGAGGACTGTAAGGCTGAGCTGTAAGACTGCTGAAACTGCGATTCACAGCCAGCCGTAATGTTCTGGGAGTCAGGTGCAGTGGGGCCTCCAGAACAAATCTGATGGCCAGGCCCAAGATTTTTTTTTGGAGGGGGGGCATGTGGTGGGGGAGCAGTGAAATTATGTTGCCATTAGTGTAAAAGGTGTAGATGTAGGTATGGACGGCAGGAAAATGTCCCTACCGATATTGCGGGGGGGGGGGGGGGGTTGAGGCTGTTTTCGCCCCTTCCAATAGTGAAACTGCACCTGTGCTCTTGGGTGATGGTGATCGTTGAACAGCAGCACAGCCCAGAGAGT